TGCTCCATTCCATAACACTTCTGTGTCCAGCACATACGTGAATGGTATGGTAGTTGTCTTTTTCCAGGTAGAATTCAACGTATATTGATAGATATTGAATGAGTTCGTTTTCTGAAATAATAATGTATGCATGACTGACTTACTGACTGGTTTCTACGTAGAACCTTCCACCGATGTGTAGCAGTTCCAGTTGCCACTCTCCCTTCACGTAGCACACAAAACAAGGGAAGAGAGTAATATGAGATTCAAAAGAGAGATGATAAACAGAAATAGGAGGCAAAAAGAGGAGTAGTAATATGGAAGAACAATAGAGTTTCATTGGATAGAGTAGATCACAAAGAGTGAATGCATCAACGACACTGAAAACGATTTTGAGCCATATCACTAATTGACTTCAGCCTTCATTGGTTATTACCAACCCGAGGACCCCAACCATTCAGGAGGTCTACGCCTCCCTACGTGGCAACTGGCTTAAACTTACTGTTATGAATTTCATTGACTGATGAAGGCATGTTTTAGTTTCACCACCACCACTAGCTCTCTCTTTTCCAACCTGATCAATCCTATGTCAGGTAACACTGCCCGTTGAGGAAGACGATTGGTGGCTAGGCACACCATCTCAATGGATGCAGCTGCTTCACAACCTCATTGATTGATTTCACCTCCTTGCAATAGCACTCGACCGAAGCCTAACTTCAATATCGCTCACTCTATTATACCTACTACCTAAAACAGGAGATAGAACGTAGACACCTGTGATCAAGACGACTAGCCTTTTCATATCTTCCACTTTCAATGGTCATGTCTCACTCACAGTCAGTTATTAAGGAGGACAGAGTGAACTGCTGAACGGTACACACGTCCTTCGGTTCACAGCCAGCTGGATATCACGTTTACTAAGCCAGAGATGGCGTTAGTTGGCAGGCATATGCGAAACGAGCCTTCTGTATCCGTGAAAATGTATGCATACGTGTACTATCAGTAGTTTATTTTTCTAAATAAGAGTTTACTTATATGTATATTTTTTTATTTACTTTCAGATAAATAAGTATTAATTATAATTTTTTTTCTAAAAAATTTCA